GTTGTTAAACACAATACTATACATGTTTAGATCTAAACATGTATCAGAAGTGTTTATTTCCCAAACACAATTTTTACAGTGCAGATCTGTAGGAAGCTTAATCTTAAAATGAGATAACATCAGAGTATCAAAAATATTTACAAAAATATGAATGATTCATGTAAAGATCTCAGAGTTTTCAATACTTTAAAAAAGTCATAAAACAAAGGAGCTCATTATTCAGTTAATAGATCTATGCTACCACAAAATTATACAATCATACTGTATGTATACATACGAGGGTTGTTCAAAAAGTTTGTGGACTACCGTCATAACTTTTATACTGAACGCCATATTATATCCAAATTTGGAAGAAATATTTCAACAGTAAATTCAAATGATGTGTATTAAAATTTTTTAAAATATCGTGGTTTATTTCAAACTTATTTAGACTTTAATAATGCGAAAATCGGATCACGGAGCAAGTCAAAATTTTGCGATTTACAATCAAGACACTAAATAATGTCTGAAGTCATATCTTCTGTAAAATGACATAAAAACAGAAAAAATTCTACAGCTTCAAAGTAAGTATTGTTTCATCGTTTCTGATTCCAAATTATGACTTAATATTTTGCTTCGTTGAAAAGAAATCAGTTTCAGAAGATAGGTAGTCCTCATTGAAAAAGACAAAAAAAGATGATGTCGTAGAACGTCACGGAGCAGCAGTTAACCATACAGTTTTGTGTTGTACTCTGGAAAACTCCATAAACAAGAGGCCCATGGGCCTTGAATCGCTCTTCTAATAAACTGTACAACCTATCACTTCTATTTGAAGCCTCGAAGTATCCTGTATATTTACATGAACCCTTGAAATTCCAATTCACACTCTGAGAACCCAAGATGATTCTAAGCCAATTAGTACCTGAGAGTTGGTCATGGTGACCTACTTATCACTTGTCATTCTCTGAGGACCCATCAACTAAGTTTGATGATTCTAAGCCAATTAATACCTAAAGTATTTTTTAAAGTTACAATCATAAAATTTTATAAGTAAGTCAAAGTGACCTACTTTTCAATTGTTTTACTCCAAGGACCCAAGATGCATCAACTGACAAAGTTTGATGATTCTAAGCCAATTAGTACCTGTAATATTTAATTAAAGCCATAAATTTTCAAAAGTAGGTCACCGTGACCTAGTTTTCAGTTGCTGTACTCCGAGGACCAAAGATACATCGACTGACAAAGTTTGATGATTCTAGCCAATAAGTACCCAAAATATTTAATTACAGCCATAAATTTTCAAAAGGAGGTCACAATGACCTACTTTTCAGTCAACCTACTCCGGGGACCAAAGATGCATCAACTGACAAATTTTGACGATTCTAAGCCAAAAAATTCCTGAAAATATTAAATACAGCCATAAAACTTCAAAAGTAGGTCACCGTGACCTACTTTTCAGTTGTTGTACTCCGAGGACCCAAGACGCATCAACTGACAAAGTTTAATGATTCTAAGCCAATTAGTACCCAAAATATTTGATTAAAGCCATAAATTTTCAAAAGTAGGTCACTGTGACCTACTTTTCAGTTGTTGTACTCCGAGGACCCATGACGCATAAACTGACAAAGTTTTATGATTCTAAGCCAATTAGTACCCGAAATATTTTATTAAAGCCATAAATTTTCCGAAAGTAGGTCACGGTGACCTACTTTTCAGTCGACCTACTCCAAAGACCCATGACGCATCAACTGACAAAGTTTGATGATTCTAAGCCAATTAGTACCCGAAATATTTAATTAAAGCCATAAATTTTCAAAAGTAGGTCACGGTGAGCTATTTTTTAGTCGATCTACTCTGAAGACCCAAGATGCATCAACTGACAAAGTTTGATGATTCTAAGCCAATTAGTACCCGAAATATTAAATTAACGCCATAAGTTTTCAAAAAAAGGTCACTGTGACCTACTTTTTAGTCGACCTACTCCGAAGACCCAAGATGCATCAACTGACAAAGTTTGATGATTCTAAGCCAATTAGTACCTGAAATATTTAATTATAGTCATATAAATTGAAAAGTAGGTCACGGTGACCTACTTTTCAGTTGACCTTTTTTGAAGACCCAAGATGCATCAACTTGCAAAGTTTTATGATCATAGGACTTAAAATGTCCAAATTATGCCTCTAAAACGCTTTAAAATCGAATGCCTGCAAATTTCAAAAAGTAGGTCACTGTGACCTACTTTTTAATAAATATGTTTTATGGCCCCAAGATGCATCGTCTTACAAGATTTAATGATTCTAAGCCTCCCCGTATTCGAATTAATGACCTTAATTGTTTTAAAAATGATTAGCCATAAAATTCAAAAAGTAGGTCAAGGTGACCTACTTTTTAGTTGACGTACTTTGAGGACCCAAGATGCATCAACTGACAAAGTTTGATAATCATAGGCCTTAAATTGTTCAAAATATACCTCTAAATCATTTTGAAAAAGAATGGCCGCAAAATTTAAAAAGTAGGTCACCGTGACCTACTTTTGAGTCAACATGATATGAGGTCCTTAGATGCACCAACTGACAAGATTTGATGATCCTAGTCCTTATAGTAAGCAAAATATCAACATTTTAATAAAATGTAATTTTTGGTCAACTTTGAAGTGACCTTGAGAACACGCCCTTTGCCCCAGGGTAAATCCCCGTGCAAATTTTAATCTACAACATATCCTCATCCTTTTGTGTAAGTTTGGTGATAATCTGCCCAGTGGTTCTTGAGAAGAAGATTTTTTAGCAACCAGTACTTTTGTTTCTATTTTCCTAATTATCTCCCCTTGTTAAAGGGTCACAACCCCAGTTTTAGTATAAAAGGGAGCCCTTGGGCCAAGGATACCCTGTGACAAATTTGACAATAATTGGCCAAGGGGTTCTTGAGTTATGGCCCATATTCTAAAAAGTTTACGCACACCGCACAAATGGCCATAGCATTAGCTCTTTGAGCCTTTGGCTCAGAAGAGCTAAAAAAACTCTGAAAATGCCAGAGGAAGTAGGAAATATGTCAAAAGCGAGCCAAGCATGTGTGTGTGCATGGTACAAGCAGTATTTGAATGATAGACTACTCTGCTCAGACGATGGTGGTCTGTGAGAAAACGGATTATCTGTAAAAATCTTATCAAAAACATTGAAAAGTTAGTAACGACTTGATAAGAGTTTGGCGCTTCACAGATGCTGATCTTGTGAAAGCACTTATGCAGTGAAAAAATATAACATGGACAAACAAAATAATGCTACTCGAACAATTGTTAGCAAAATAGATTTCAAGTGATAGAGAAACGTTTTTAATGAGTGCACTGGTATTGGGCAATACTGTGTGAAATGTATAGGAGTAGTATTTTTGAGAACCTCATGTCGGTGAGTTGTTGACGTTACAGTGTTGTTGAGTTTGCTCCATGGTTACAAAACGTGTTGATTTTAAAATTAAATAACATAAATTCTATTAAATCGCATGGAATGAAACATCAGACTTAAACAAAATAAGTATTTTTACATATGATAATGTGTTAATTCTAAATTTCTTGAAGTTAGTATAACGAAGATTGGCATAGTCCACTAACTTTCCGAACAACCCTCGTACATAGCACTATTTATACACATATTTCTATCTGTTCTGTGTTCTTTTTGTGTAGGGAGACACAGTGTACCCTATAAACAAAAATACAACAAAATATTCTATTTACAATACTACTTTTTTAACCTCAAACAAAATCATGTACATGTATATTAAAATTAGCACTATTTTAAGAATTGTAACCCATTAATTGTTTTCATCCTCTTCTATGAAATGAATCTGCTCTTGATATAAACCATTTCAAAAATTTATATTTATTTGAAAAAGCACAGTTGATGCTGCAATATACAATGTAAAGGACTGTACTGCTTCCAATATAAGAGAAACATTTGACAGAATTTAAGTATGATGGATATTTTTTTTACTTACAGTTAAACTTGGTTTCACTAAGAATTTGAATTTTGCTTCCTTATAACCAAGATGTTTTTATACCTGTATGAGGAACAAAGTACAAAGTCTCCTACAGGATTCTCTATAACCGAGTTTTACTGTCCTTTTCTTTATGGTAAATTGCAATAAATTGATTACACTGTTACATTGTGATTACACAAACATCATGTGTCATCTACTGCTCCTATACTCTTAACAATGCTGAAAAACTTAAAACACTTTACATTGCTTTCTAAATAACCACACACACAATGTTGTGAAGTTTTATCTCTTATAAAAGACTCCCTTCACATGCATTTTTCTTATCTAAAAAAAATCAGTATTGTCTATAAAGCTGCTATTCATCTCATTTTGTAATATGAATACTTTTTACAAGTGCTGCCATTCTCCATTTGTTTTCATGAAATTTTCATATTTTTTAACTTTTATACATACATGTATATTCATAAAAACCACATCCAATCCACTTACATAACTCATTACATTTCATGCCTAAAGCTTGGTTTCACACACAAACACAAACACACACACACCCTCACAAATATCATTAGACAACAAAACTATATACCTTTCACATATTATAAGAAATAAGTGATGAGATAATATACTGGTACATGTGTCTTAAAATACAGTACTTTCATCCACTGTCAACAAGATATGTAAAACATCCATTCATTATGTTGTATTGCACAAGCTGCCCTTAAGTATACAATTAAACACAGTGAAATAAAATGCCATTCTTAACCAATATCATACATGCTTCATCAAATCTCTGTCAAATGAAACTGCTGTACACAAAAAAAGCTTTTCTAAGAATTGAAATGGATTTCATTTTAAAATTTGTCATAACAGATTGTACATATACTAAAAAAGAGAAATTTTGTATAGGAAAAAACAACATAATAAAGAATCTTCTCCAAGGGTTATAAAATTACAATAAAATCCCTTTACAAGTCATTTTGTTCTATGCATTCAACATTAATTACAAATAAATTTTGCTTTATATTAGGCTAATTCATCCCCCAACTAAAGGTATGTTAACTACAAAAAAATAAGACAACCATATAAAGGGGCTATAAAACAGATATTTGATAGCTGCAGCATTTACATACACTTCACCTGTCTCTTTATGCAAAGAACATGTTGACTGTCCTCTGAATGGGTTCCCTACAAATAGGACAAACTCTCTCCGGCAGTCTGTCTACACATCCCTGACATGAGATTAAGTGATTACAGGGGGTAAAGGACACCTGGACTTCCTCCACAAGGCAGATCTTACACTTGGAGCGGTTAGACTGGGCGGACAGTCGACGAATCTCCTCCTCCAACTCACGCAGCCTCCTCTGCCACTCCCCCTCAGGACTCTGCTCCAGCTCTCGTACTCTCTGTCTCTCCTGTTGCAGTAGGCTGTCCTTCTGATTTAACATTCTGTCCTTCTGTTGAATCATTTGATCCTTCTGCTGATTAGCCAATATCTCCTGTTGTAGGGCTTGCTGACTGTTCATTACGTCTTGTGTGGTCTCGTCCACTACCCTCAGAGACATCTCCAATGCCTCAGCTGTCTCCTCCATCTCCTGTCTGGTCTCCTCCATCTCCTGTCTGTTCTCCTCCATCTGTCGGTCCTTCTCCTCCATCTCCTGTCTGGTCTCCTCCATCTCCTGTCTGGTCTCCTCCATCTGTCTGTCCTTCTCCTCCACCTCCCTCTTTGTCTCCTCCACCTCCCTCTTTGTCTCCACTATTTCCCTGTCTTTTTCCTCCACCTCCCTCTTTGTCTCCACTATTTCCCTGTCTTTTTCCTCCACCTCCCTCTTTGTCTCCTCCACCTCCCTCTTTGTCTCCTCCACCTCCCTCTTTGTCTCCACTATTTCCCTGTCTTTTTCCTCCACCTCCCTCTTTGTCTCCACTATTTCCCTGTCTTTTTCCTCCACCTCCCTCTTTGTCTCCACTATTTCTTTGTCCTTCTCTTCCACATCTCTCTCCAGTTGCACTACAAGGACATGATAATTTTCCAAGTATTACATGTACAGTGTATAATTTTATAATTTTAGAGTACTGCCACTTTTCTTTCATATTGTCATTCAACATATAAGGATACATATAAGGATACAACACCTGAACACATTATGATTTTTGGAAAAATAACATATGGTTATGTAACTATAAATACTTATTTGAGATACACGATAGATAATTACATCAAATTTTATCATTCAGATGAAATGAATGCAAGTATTATATATGAAATGATATAAAATTTTATCAGCTCAGCATCATCACTATATCTTAAGAGATTAAATCCAGGTAATGACAATGAAACAGCTATTTACCTATACCTTTATAGTCATGTTGCATTTCTCTAAACTCTTCAGGAGAAGGGTGGAAACTTAGAACAGACATTACAAATTTTCATAATACTTGATTATTTTTTTACTAATGAGTCTACCAAAATAGGAAATAATGTTTATTTAGGACAAGTGATTACAATTAGATCACATAGTGTGTTTACTAGTTTAATCAAGGGAATTATAATCAGCATATAACATCCAAGATAAATGAATAATAATATTGTTGTCTGTCACTGTTCATATAAAACTATCAACTTCATAAATGGGCAAGATCTCTTCATAAAAATTATATGTACAGAAAATAATAACAAAATTGCAACTATGGAACACAACTTTTGATCACATTTTCACAGAAGCTACCTTCTAATGATAAAAAAATTCATAGTTTGTAACAGATATATATTTATCTGACATCACTTACTGTCACTCTCCATGCACTTATTCCACAGCTTCTTAAAATCCTCTGAGTTATACCCCTTCTTCTCCACTTTAGTGTGAGGGGGCTCCTCATAATAGTCATCCAGGGGGAGGCCCGAGTCGTCCAAGCATGACAACTGACTCAGCATCTGGATTTGCTTTAGTTCATCAGTGAGTTTACTAGCATTTCTGTTGGCATTTATCCCTATTTAAGACAAAATTTAACTCTGTTAAAAATAAATCCAGATTCATACTAAAAAAGCTTCCTTTTTTAATTATTTTTTTATTTTTTGTTGACAAAACTTTATGTATTACAATATTATAATATTCTAAGGCACATTTGTGAAATAGTTTTTCATAACATTTGGAGACCTTGGTAAAATGATTTCACCAGTAAATTGCACAAACTTTGATTACTTAGTATCCTACAGAGACAATACAAATGTATTGCTCTCAAAGAATTAGAAAATTAAAACCATATACATGTACCGGGTACAGCTGAACTTTGGTATCTCGAACAGGGATATCCGGAATACCATGGATATGTTGAAGTGATCGGGAAGTCCTAACTACGGTACATATTTCTTTAAAAGTATTTTACCCTTGATATCTCGAACCCTTTGATATCTCGAAGTTTTTTCTCTTGGTCCAATCGAGTTTGAGATAACAAGGTTTGACTGTACTTAGTTTACTTACTTCCTTTGACAGAGCTGAGGTTTGGTACAGCAGCCACCAGCTCCTCCTCATCCTTTTGCTTTTCCTCATACTGTGAGGAGGAAAGGGACAGAGAGTTCTGAGGTGTCCCAGCCCCACAGCAGATGGAGGCACTGGTTTTCTGGTTCCTTTGTGTTACTGTGGATCCTCCAAATGATTTGTTGGAGACTGGCACATCTGAGGTACCTACACATTTATCAGAGACATTCCCTTTATTTGTTTTACTCTGAAGCCAAAATGAAAGTAGAACAACAATGGCAGTCCCAGCAATTCTACAGTTTTCACAGTTGATGGCAAAGTTATTCATGTATATAATGGCAATTGCTGCTCCAAACAAGCAAATATATGCATCCTGTCTGATATTTCTTCTCCTCCATTGAGGGAGGTAACTCTCTAGAAAACTGTAGTTCCAGTCAATGAGGATCACTGCCACAGAGGAGGATAAGAAGACAGACTCCACAAGGAGAGGGAGGAGAGAGTTCAGGGAAGTCAGATCCAAACTCATCTACAACATGATAAAAGACTATATAGATCATGTAGATATGAAAATTGTGTATTCTATATAAAATATCAATCAATATTCATTTTTCTATACATTGTATGTCTTATTTTCAAAATAATTATGTCTTAATTAACAGTTAAGGTATATAAAACCATCACGACTTATGGGTAAGAGAAATTTGATGAAATGTCTGACTTTAGTATTCATTCAATGAATGTGTATATCAAAGTTCAATGAAAGAAATAGAAAAATAATCTTTAACACATCTTTAATTCAATTACAGTCCGGAGTCTCAAAGTAATGAGCCCCTAATTGCTAAACAATCAAAAGCACCTCAACTACAAATCACAATATTTGTATATCAAATTTTATTACATTATTTTTGTTATTCCTACATTTTGTATGATTATTCAATTTTATTTTTTTGTAACTACCAGTATGTATTTTTTATCTGAGTTAAACAATCAATGTTTCACTTTTCTGTGATTTGACACTGCTTTTCCACTGGAAAATACCTGCTTTTCTGCGATGAATCAAACTACTATTCTATGATTATATTTTTTTGCTTTCCTTTTACTGCTCTTCCATTAACCAGGTAAATATCTTACCACAGCAATTATTTTGCATCAATTGTAATTACGAGTTTGCACATTATTCCTATGCCGCATCAGTAAGAAACCTAACCCAGTTCTTTAAAACATTGACTTTTCTATATACATGTACATATTTCTGGCGTATATCATACATTGATTACCACAAATTGTTGCAGTCTGTATGTTATTGAATAATTTCCATGACGTCTGAAACTATCATCAACCAGTGTTAAATGCAAAATTCATTCAATTCAATTTTCATCACATCGTGAGTTCATATTCAATTATACTGACTGGAAACTCTATGAGGAAATACCCGAGACCATTGAAAAATCACGGAAAGGAGGTATAACTTAAAACCAATCACATAAACAGTCTGGTCGAACCCCCGAATGGGGGTAAACGGAAATGGGAAATCCATACCCCCAAACGGGGGTACGAGCATGCGCAGATGCTTAAAAATGTGCGTATTTCACGCAGAAAGTAGGGCTTTACAAAAATCGCCGGTGCAAAGTAACGGATTATTTGGCAAATGTAAAACCACTCGGAAATGATAGATTAAAGGTGTTTTTAGAGTTTGTATTTTACAAAAATACAACTTTATTGTACAAATCGGGATTTATTCACTGGCAAAGTTGGCGATCTTTTGCTCCTTGACATGCAGGTATTCAAGATAAAATATTCGATAAACAGACAAAAGCAACTAATATTAAATTGAAATTATAAAAAAAATGTATTATTCTACCTTATATCTTTTATTTTCATAATAAAATACTAGAAAAAACGGTGCTAATATCGATTTATTTATGATCGTGGGTTTCAGTCCGCGTTTCCTCTGACTAGCAATCGACGGTCTTTATTATCGATAATCATGACCAGAAAGTGTTACAAAAATACACATAATAATAAAATTCAAATGAAATCTATCGTATGTATTGTCTTTTATATCTTATAAGAATTAAATAAAATGTTTGGCAACTTGTCGTTGTAGTTTTTTTTAATAAATGCGATTGTTTGGGGAAAACACGATTATATTTAATTTTATTTAAATCTAGATTCTAAATTAACATTTTCTACATTCTTAGAATATTTTTCCTTGTGTTTTAAATTCCATAATCCTAATTGAGACGTTCCTACAAAATAATAAATAATTTCATGAAATGACGGAAAATATTCTGTTATTCCTACATTATAAATTCAAACTATGGAAAACTTAACCTGTTAATTTTTTTCTGTTGACATTTTACCAAGTTCATAGCAGAAATAACATTATTATCGATCTTTTTCCTAAGATAGATGATATAGGCAAGTTTGTTTATATTGGATACGGCAAGAGTTACTGTTCTTGTGCATTGCATGACGGGACGAAAACCCTCGTTTGGGGGTATACCCCCGTTCGGGGGTTCGACCAGACTGATAAAAGCAGTGTAAAAAAAGTAGTGGAAAAGCAGACAGGAGGCTGAAATAAAATTACAGACAAGCAGGATAAGCCTAGTAAACAATCATATTAAAATATCAAATGAGATTTTGTAAAGTATACAAATTGAAACACTTTAAACATTGTAAAATAAAAATCTTCCTTTCAAACAATTAGCTCTAAAAATATTTCTTTGTTATATAAAATGTATAGACATCATTGTGTAACCTTGAATAAATTTTCTTATAATATTAAACATTACTCCTTTTCCTAAAAAAAAATTGGAAGAAAATTTTGTTACTGCATATACATTTTATGTGCAAATAAGGCTTGAGGCAAACAAAACTTTTGGTCAATAAATTCTGAGAATATGGACCCTGGATAAAAATTTGTGTTTTAGGTGCAAGGACTCAAAACTAATTAACATTCTTAATAATTGAGACTGAGTACACTATGTCTTATCTATTCAGATCATATAATAAAATCTTATTTTATATACATCATGATCATGTATATAATTATATTCTTGCAGTAAATTTGCAATAATTTAAAAAAAAAAAACTTAACAATTTAAGGTTTGAATTAATTAAACAACTAATTTTGACCTGACACGCGTATTCAATGAAATATGACAAATTTTAAAATAAAGCATTCGCACCCGAATTTCCTCGAAATGTTCAAGCCTTCACAATGTTTCACAGTTCATTAAGCATAGCAAAGATGGTTTTCCATACAATATCTCCATAATATCATTAAAAACAGGATTTAATCTTAATTCTTGAACACAGAAAATGTCTTTTTTATGGGAAAAATTGTTCAAAAGTGATTTTAAGAAACATTTCACCGGTAGAAGAGTGTATCATGCATGGGATATTAAAGGCATTTATAAAGCGAATCTGCCTATAACTTTACATTTACTATATTCCTAAAACACTGATCTAATGTCTCTTACCTTTGTTTTTGGATGTATTCGGTCGTAAAACAGTTCAATCAAGGGAAATTAAAAAAATATTCCTGCGAAATCCAAACATAAACAAATAAAATGGCGACGTTCTTTCGGAACACCCCTTCTGAGAAAAAAATCCGCGAAAATATGAAACTGTCAAAACAAATGGCACGTGTTGAAGTAAAAAGGCGAACTTCCATTCATTGACAAGGAAAGTTCATTTATATTGATAATACGTAATGGTTTGCTAAACCCTGGTTAAATGTTTATGGAATCGGGGTACTTAAATATATATTTTGAGAAAAAGAAGAAAGATTGAGGGGGAAAAACATTTTACACACACCAGGAATTAAATTTTACGCACTTAATTTCGTCAAGCCTAGATTTAGGATGAACTCAATAAAAGCGTTATAACATTCCCTTGCGCCTTTCCTTGAGGCAATCAAAGTCAGCACTGAGCTTTGGGGGTGGATCCTAATAATGTTGCATGTTGTGCATGACGACAATTTTCAAAGTTTTAAATTCGCGAACATTTTCTCGTGAAAATAAATGTTTATCTCATTCTTTTTAAATTTATAATATTGATATTACTTATTAATACAGCTTAAGGATAAATAACACAAACAAAATTTTTCTTTCCAATTAAATTCAAATACCTTAATTTGCTTAAATTGGTGCCTCTCTCACTAAAGAATTGATATCTGTTTAGTTAAACAACATTATGTTTGACCAAGACATATAATCTGGTGAAAAATGGGAAAATACAAAACTTTCAGTTCAATAATTTTTTTTGGCAAAGTTTTAGAAATATATGAGGTTTTGTTACTGTAAAGTTTCTGGGAAACATTTTTAAGATTCTATATTTACATTTTACATAATTAGAATTTCCTAATTAGATATTAAATTGAAAGAAATATTGAAAAATTGCAATGCATTTTGGGGGGGGGGGGGATAAGAAAATTTGTTTGTGGTACATGTATGTACCTTTAAATATAAGTGTCATTTATCTCCCTATTAATAAGCAGACATGATGATTTTTTATCAGTCACACAAAACAATCTGAAGAAATAAATTTACGATCATCAATTATTTCACAAAAGGATATACCCCCAATCCCCCAAAAAATTAAAAATGTGTTAGTCACGATGAACTTTTGCAATCTTGACAGTGCCATGTGGATATTACATTGTCATAACAAACAAATTTTATACAACGTACAACATCACCTTTAATTTGGGAGTAGGGATCGAGAAGAAATTCAATGTACTTAACATGAGCCTTTCTTGTTTCATCTTAATTAATTAATTTCATCTTATTTTAACCAGTAAGCTTTACAATATTTTTATTATAAGCAGACAAAATCAGCAGCTATGCTTTATAGTTTTCTACTTTTTTTTTTAAAAAAAAAACGATCTACATGGATTCTGATTTTATTGTTTGTTAATCATGTCATTGTATTTAAATTTTGTTTTTAATAAAATGATATTTAATTAACCCCTAAATCTATGTGTTTCACCTTAATTGCATACCCCTTCTAACTGAAAAGTTTAATCCCCTAACTGCTCCAGTCTATATGTTACCTGTACCTGAACTGCTGCGTGCGTTCAAGCGAGAAGTGATTCCTCCTCTGCATGTGTTAAATAATCTGTGTAAGGGATGCATCCTAAATTTTACAGATTTAAATTAAAATCAATGAATTCCTCTAACTTATTATCAGCTTTAGTTAGACGCTATTTAAATATGTTGAGTTTACTAATTGACCCTCTTCATGGTTTGGTATTTTGGGGAAGGGTATCGGGGGAGGGGGGAGCTGAATTCGATCACATTTTGAATTTTTTGTGAGGTTCAATGTACAAAATAAAATAATCATCCATCCCACCCCTCCCCAAAACGTACCAAACTGAAAAGAGATCTTAACATAAAGAAAGAAAGAAGTTAATATTATTAATGATGTCGGATACACCCCTCAAAAATGCTGCCATTCATTCCCCCGCAGTACGGGATATCAATCAAATTGCGCTTTCCCACTATTTAATCTCAGTCGTCTGTCAGTCCGTCCGTTTGTCAAGGTTTAGCCTCTGTCACATCTTTTCTCACATCTGTAATATAGCTTTAACAAGATCTTTACGAATGTACTAAAATTTTGGACTCGGAGTCTCCGTGACCTTAAGTTAACGTTTGACCTACTTTTTCAAAAAAAAAAAATAAAAAAAAAAATAAAATAAAATTGCCAATAACTTTTGAATGAGAAAACAAAAGGCTTTGATATTTCACAAGTGCATTATCCGTGACAAGAAGCTGCAGATCTGTAGCTCGCTGTTCTGAAAAAAAAAATGGAATGGGCGACCAGAGCGCTACAGTAATAGTGTCACCCTGTATATTTATTGCGCACTAAAAGTTGCGCTCAGTTCTGGATTACAGAAAAGTTCGATTTCAATCAATTATATGTATACTCTCGAAGTTAACATGCACCTACACGAAGCGCGTTGGACCGAATTATATATTTTACCACCCAAAATGGCCCAGGTCCAGGAGGATTATTAACAATGGAATGTTTTGTTGTGGAAATAGTGAAAGAATACGTTAAGAGCACATGTTTAGTGAAATTTTGAGGTGGTAGATTGAAAAACACACGGAAATAAATTGAGGAACAGCGCACTTTTTTGTGTACAATATATATACACTTTTTTCAATGGATGCATGGCACTGTATACCTCTCCGGTCTGCCAATATATTTTTTTCGCAGACTTCATTTCTGCAACTAACCTTGACCATATAGTTTTACCCATTTTTTTTAATGTTAACATTGTCAGTGAACTTAATATTAATATAGAGGGTTTTGAATGAGAGAAGATAGGAATTCCATATGTACATTACCTGTGAAAACACTATCATTTTTTTACCTCATGACCTTGTGCTTGAAGTTTGACCTACTTTTCACTTTCAAACAAAAAGTTAAAAACGTCCTTGGTTGTACATTTTTTGAGTCTGAAAGACATGGCTTTCATACTTAAAATGACATATGCATTACCTGTGATGAAACTTTCCCAGACAGAACTCTTGACCTTGAAATTTGACCAACTTTTCAAATGTTTTAACCTTGTTCGTAACTTAGGCACCCGAAGAGTCAGGGATTTCATATTTTTCTCAGGTCTATTATATACTTGTGATAATATACATTTTGGAATATTTGACCTCATGCGGGCCTACACCAGTTTGACTTTCAATCAGCATTATAATTACTATTTTGCACCAAAACATATTGCTTTCAAAATATAATACATTTTTGGCATGATGTGCAGTTATGCCAGGACAGTCATTGCACCCTAACCAATAAGCCCCCGAAACGCTTGGTTCATTTAAATCGTTCGGGATCAATGTTTGCAGAATTTTTACTGTACCGGAAACCCTATTTCGAACTCAAACAAAAGGCGGGTTGTTATTGGTTCGTTCAAAAACAGCGGCATTTGTGAAGAAAATCGATGGTATGTACTAATGTAGATTGTAGCAAAACGAAGCGCTATTTATTTTTTACAGACAGCAGTCGTATTGTTAATTTTACCATCTTTGTGCTTCATCCTAAAGAGTCACAAGTGAGCTGAAGGGTTGAAAGCATGTTCTGATTTGAAATTGCATTCGCCCAGGTGATGCGTATATTATGTAGACTTTAATATTTACTATGAATGGGCAAATTGGTTATTTCATAGTACAATATTAAAAATGAATTCGAACACACCGAAAAAAAGTATTTTATGTAACAGCTTTGTCTCCGGCAGCCGCACAATCTCCGGCTTGAGCTATATCTGACATCTATAATCCGAGATTACTCCAACTCTAACCCCCGCATTTATAATGTGACATGACACTATATACAGATATATATAAAAGCGGGGGTTATTAGAGCCGGAGGAATATCGAATTATGTCATGCGTATAGCTTGAATTAGTCAGGTCTGGTACAATCACTAGATTTAGGGGTGCGTAAGTAAGTAACAACTTGATAATAGACCCTTTTCCTATGACATATTTTGCCTAGAAGTTATTTCCCTTAGCCGCCATATTGTAGGGCAACATTCCCAGATCCCTTCATTATTCAACCAAGTTCAATATCTTATACTGGTTACTGAGGTAAAGATAACACTATTTTTCTTATGAATACACATTTTTTATATCCTCTATTAATTCATGATAATAAGATTGTAAATATTTTCCCCCATATTTTTCTTGAATGCATGTTTAAAATTGGTTGCTCAAAGAGGTAAATTCACTGCTTTGCCATACAAGATGGCGGCTAAGGGGAATAACTCCTAAGCAAAATGTGTCATAGGAAAAGGGTCTATACGATAATATATATTTAATATTCCATTCGTTTTCCATTTGGGTCCATTTGATTTCCATTTGGGTAAATCGACGTGCCGGATTTAGTTACCAGGTCCAGCACAATCTCTTGATTTAGCTATATAGCTTGAAAAAGCTATATAGCTTTATTAAGCTATTCAAAGTAGCTTGATCAAGCTATTTATGTGCATTTTTTCAGAAAATGTTTTTTGTAAGAAATAGACAAAAAGTCGCAAGTATTTTACTATTCATACATATATACTATGGACTATCAAAACAACAACCAAAATCAAAGATAGTTTTGACTTTGCAGCATTTGAATACTTTTAAGGATACACCAAAGGCTTTTTTCAAGATTTTCAACAATTTTGAGATTTTTGGCCAAGAAAAAGAAGTTAATCACTGCTTTATAATGCATGTAAAATTCTTGGTAATTATGAAATGGTTATCTAATTATTTAACAATAATGAAACATAAACACTACCACATGTGAATGTTCCGTTATTGAAGCTTCTGATTTGATCTGGGACTGCCTGCTCATGAAAGACGCAATAAATCACTGTGACCACTTGGGGAATTCTTCACTAGCCACACAGAGGTTATCAGTAATTAAACTACAGGGACTCTAGATTTAGAGAAAGAGATCTAACAGATCACTAATGACCATAAAATAGGAGGTGGAGCTTAGCTCTTGCCATTTTGCCAGGAAATCTTTCTGATTCAGAATTGAACCTATTTTACTTAATTAAAAGCATCTAAATACAGAAAAGAACCTCCCATTCTTGTGAATATACATAGGAAATATGGCTAAGTGACAGGTATCCAAAGCTGAATCTCCAAGGTGTCATATATTCCTAGCTTTGGCAGAATTTGTTGTGTAATGGGTTTTTGCCCTCTACTGTAAAGTAAGATCAGACAGTTTGTGGTATTATTTCAAAGGATTCAGCTCCCTTATTTATTGACCAATTTCTCTGAAAATTGGATGCGTTGCTTCTCAAATGTGTGTTCACAAAACCGATCTCAGATTTTTGAAATCTAGCTTAGTTTTGGAATTATTGAGGGAAATGTTAAATTAGGCTAATAAATTGGCAACATTGAAGGGCAAATGGCTGTAACTTTTGAATTAGAAGATTTATCAAAAATCTGAGATACGGTTTTTAAGTTCAATCTTTAATCTACCTTGAGGTAAAATGTCCACTTTGAGGGGTTAAATACAAAAAAGTTGATTTATAAAATATTTATGCACTAAAATTTACATTAATATTTAAATAATTTTTAAATAAGTTATTAATTAAAGTTTAAATTAGGATAAGTGAATAGTAAATTTAACAAGCTTTCAAATGATGTATACTTTTATTATGTAACTTTGATAATGAAAGAAATACCCGGTATTTTTTTAGGGTCTCTCTGGGGCCGAAATTCGGCCCCATTCCCAATGCTGAAAAGTGCATGTTTTTCCCAAAATCATACCTAAAAATTCCCAATATGAAAAAAAGTATTAAGTTCAGTTGTAAATTATTAAAATAAAAAAATGACAAAAAGGTGTTTGTGTTCTCTATGTGCGATGTACGAGCCATCCGAGGGCTTCCGAGAAGTTATTCAGAATACTACGGATGTTTGCATGCATACTTTTTAAAGCGGGATCGATGTTTAAAAATTAAAGTCGTGATCGTTATCTAAAAAATAAACTTGCATCATGTCAGTCTCTCCAGTTTGCCTAAGACGGTAATTTTCAGGCTGGGTTGAATCGCTCTTATTCTTATAAATTGGTCAAACAATACTGATTAACCACTCATCTGGAACAAACCCACTATCAAATATTATTTTAAAGAACTTCTTACAAAAAGGTAAAAAAGATGACAGTGTATAAATATGTTCATTTACGATGTTATCATACCCTGCGGCTTTGCCATTTTTAAGCTTCTGAACTTCAACAGCCGCTATTATTTCATATCACTAAAGTTGGTTTAAGCCAGCTTTATACTATAAAAAATAAGAAAAATGATTAAATATTTGACTTTTGCTTGTTTTTTCCTATTTATTTGTATGAAGATATTTTTCCCAATTTCAACCAAATATCACTATTTTTCCCAATCTTGACGGCCCCGGCCCCTGGAATCAAAGGGTAAAAAAATCCCTGATTACATGCAAATTAAATTCTGGCATTTGGAAACCTTTGGTGTATCCTTAAGCAAAAGATGAATTTCCATTGTTTGAGTAACTGTACACTACCTTGTGTGCATTGAGGCGTGGATAAGTATGATTGCTTCTCATTGTACTTAATTATTACCAATCAGTTATCCTGTTGACCATAATTTGCCTCTTTTATAATTTCAATGAAGAAGTAACTATATGAATTGCTTTGTATAGCACCTAAACTTTTAGAACTTTGAGTACAAAGTCTCTTAAGGAGACACAATTTGATGAGTGATTTTTACATGCATTGTTTTCAGAAGAGTTCAAGGTTGAATATTATCACTGCACCAAGGTGCAGCTTTTTGTGCATGCTGAGAAAATAACACATTTAAGAAAAAAAATGTGATAAAATGGCTAAATCAAGCTATTCTGAATAGCTTAATAAAGCTATATAGCTAAATCAAGCTACATTGCTAAATCAAGAGATTGTGCTGGACCTGGTTACGACGCTTGAATTACCTACAATAGCTACATAACTTTATTTACCTACTTGAAGTAGCTTTATTTAGCTACTAAATCAAACTTATTTCTCAAATTAGCATTTTTCCCAGAAAGAGAAAGTACAGAAAATTGCACTTTGATGGAGTGATTATTTTCAACTTTGAACTCATCTGAAAACAATTCAGGAAAAAAATCACTCCCGGAGATGTGTCTTTTTCTGCGCAATTGCCATCAAAGTTCTAATTAAAGTTTTGAGGCTGTATATACAACATTTAATTTGTGACCTAACTGTTACTTCTTGAGTGAAATAACAAAGAAAAACAGTTTTGGTTAACATGAGCACAATGTGAAGTAATCGTACTTATCCATGCCTCGCCGCCCACAAGGTGGTGAACAGTTACCGTTTTTGGCCGAATATAATACGCATTGGTGTAAAATACGCACCCCCCTTTTTGAGCCTGAAACTGGGGGAAAAAACGCAGTTCAGTTGTATTATACGCAGCAGAAAATTTTACCAAGCGGTGTTCTGAACTTTTGAAAATCGCGGTAATTTGCTATAAAAAATCGGCGCGGAGATAAAGTGCCGAAAATTTACAGAACACGATATTTTATTCAAATGGGTTTTTATTTTTTAATCTTGACTTTCCATATCGCGGCAATCTGGAGGAATTTATTTATTTTAACAAAGCACGAGATAATGTTGCATTAAAGTATTAACAGAGTTCATTATTTATTTATTTTTTTTTAGCAAGCGGTGATATTGAAATTATACGTCGCCGTATTCTATCTATTCTTTGTGGAAATAATTTTATTTCAACAAAGCACGAGATATTGTTGCAAGTTTAACAGTTGTCAAATTTATTTTTAGTTTAAGGTAATCATGATGAAAATTATGTAAATTTAACAGGGCAAGCGATATTGCAACATCAAAGTATTCATAGACTACGATTTTCCTCTTTTGAACTTGAAATTAATTAATTAAATTAATAGCTGATGTTATAAATATAAAATCAAAGTTTAACAAGCGTATAAAGTGTAGTTATCAACACACCTCCAAAGCTGTGAAAAATGATGTACAAAGGTGGGATATATGTCTTCATACATCGAGGTAATCTTCGTGGATATCTTATTTTCTACAGATCACGAGTAAATGATAACACTTAAGTTTCAACATACTTCATATTTCCTTTTTTAACTCTCAGGCCGATATAAGTTATATTACATTTAACAGCGTTTAACTGTTTAATGTGTCGTAATCAACACACGCTTATACATACGAAAGATCATAAACCAACCCCCGATTTTTAACAAAGAAAATAATCAAAGCCATTAATAAGGGCAGTAAATAATCAGTGCTCTAACTGTAAAAACAATGCTTTGGAGTCGGTAAACAATTTAATTGCCTGGAGGGGTGTTGAGGGGTAATTATCAAGTGACAAGCGCACGTGTTCACAACATTGGCTTCCATTCATTGGGACGTATAGAGGGATGTTTATGTTGAAATGAATTTTCACTGAGTTATTTAAAACCTAAAATAAATTTTATTTTATTGTATTTCATTAAAAAATGACATTACTTTTTTGACCGAGTGTCTGACTGATTAGGTACATGTGTACTATGATTACGGAAGCACGTGGCAAAGGAATGTGTGAACATCTATAAATAACATCGTTAATTGCGGCCTATACGGAGACGATGAACATGCAGCTCAAATTAATTTTAACTTGCTTTTAAATTTAATTTAACTATCAAAAGGTTATAAATATAACATTTTTAACAAGTCTACATTCCAACAATAACTTTCCGAAGTTTTAAATACGGCGATAAACAGCAAGAAATTGCACAAGTCTGTAGGTAATACTACGGTATGTGCGTATGATAGCCGTGTTTCACATGAAAGAAAAATCTATCAAAATCCCATTGTGGTGTAAAATACGCACCCCTTTCTCACAGAAAATTATTTTGGGAAAAAAGTGCGTATTATATTCAGCCAAATACGGTACTCAAACAATGGAAATACATCTTTTCCTTAAAAGTGTTCAAACGCAGCAATGTTAAAACTATCTCTGCTTTAGGTTGCTTTTTAAATAAGGCCTAGATAAATAAATTGCGTGTTTCCGGTTCTCTGACCGACCCTAAAATATATGAGCCAACCCTGAAAAATTTATCTGTCGAAATCTTTCCGGAAGAAAATTCCATTTTCACTATTAGAAATCCTATTCGTGATCACTTAGGTGTTTGAGAAAATGCATTTCCTATACACATTAAACAGAAATGCTATTAGTTAGCCGCCCTTTTGGGAAAAAGAAATGAACTAATTGTTTTCCTCATTTTGTTTATTGTCAAAGTTGAATTTTAACTAAATAAAATGTTAAAATAAAATAAAATGATTTCCCTACCTGCCTACCCTATTTTTTCTCAGGTTGGAATAGGAAACACACTATTTATCTTGGCCTAGACATTTACTTGCAATTTTTTGTCCTTTTAAAATTAAAAGCAAAATTGTAAAAGTTGCCTTGAAATAGCTAAATAAAGCTACCTGAGGTAGGTAAATAAAGCTACTGTAGGTAAATTTACTGATTGTACTGGACCTGTAGAACTTTATAAAGCTTTGTTTTTGTTTTTTTTTACCTCAACTGATCAGAGACAAGTAAAGCTTATGCAATAGCAAGGTATCCATCTGTCTGTCTGTCCATCTGTAGGGTAAACAATTTTTCAAAATGCTACTCCTCCTACAGTTTTGGTCTGATTTCAGTATAACTTGGCACACAAGTAGACTATGCTAAGATACATAATTTTGTATGTATATTGGTTTTTGATTTTGATGAATGGTCTTGCCATGGTTGGGCCAGCATTTTTTTATTTTTAGGTTTACAAACCTGCCGCTCAAGTTTTTCAGAAAAAAATAAAATTGAGAAAAATGGGATTTTTTCTCTTACCGATGTCAAATTTGAGTCGGGATCGAGATTTACGAACTCGTAATTCCAGTTTTAAAATAAACATGGCGGGTAAATTGAGTACTCGGAGTAGATCTGCAGAGTCTGTAGCAGCATCATAGCTTGGTTTAGTGTAAAAATTATCGATAGGAGTGCCATTCAAAACGTTTCACCTGTTTAGAGGACAAATAAAATGCTGACGACTTTGTTGCACAATGACATGTTGGTGAGATAATTACATATCCATATTCAAAAGTATCTGCATGTAAATTAATTTCCTTCCACAAGTTAAAAACTGCCCAAGGTAGCTATAGCCAGAGATATTGTTTAGGTCTTTGCTACAGCTTACAATCTAAGCAACATTCTTCAGAAAAGGATCGCTTATGCATCAGATGTAATGAATAAAACTATGGGAGAAGTTAAGTCCATTTTAGGGTGAAATAAGATATAGTCTAAAAAAAAATATATATATATATATATATATATATTTCAATTATTAAAGAAAACAAGTATATACAAATATATACAGGCATGTAGTATCGTTTTTGAATGTGGCAGCCAGAAAAATTATTTTACACTTAATTGAAAATTTTGACCTCCCTCCCCAAAACTCCTTGTCTGTTATAGGATAGGAATTTTTACTTAAGGTCTCGAGTATATTTTAAAAACAATTTCTACACAATCACTTAACACATATTTTTTTAAAAAATGAATATATATTGAAAGAGTTTAAAAAAAAAATTTAAATTGTATTTTGACCAACATCTCAAAATTTATATCACTGTCCCCAACCGGCAGACAATGAAATAAACAATTTAAGGTTCTACCTTCCTATTTGTAACCATTGTATGGCCAGTGGCAAGGAGTCTTTTAGAAGAGCATCAAAAAAAGAAGCAAGAATGAATGTACGAAAGTTGATAATTTATCCAAAAAAATAATTTTTTTTTTCATTTCCTCCTCCTACAGAACTTTTTCATTCTGGTGTTTGTAAACCTAAAAATAAGAAAATGCTGGCCTTAAAAGAAAATTTTTAAAATTCTTTGAAATACTTTCAAAATGGTACTCAACCTACAGTTTTGGTCAGATTTTAATATAATTTGGCACACAAGTAGACTACACTAAGATACATAATTCTGTATGTATCGTTTTTTGATTTCAATGCACGCTGTTGCCATGGTTACTAAAAATAGATATTTCTGTGAAATTCTTTCAAAACACTACTCCTCCTAGGCTCCTACAGTTTTGGTTTGATTTCTTTATAACTTGGTATAATTCAAGTAACTACTAAGGGTGCAACGATAAACCGTTTGACGGTTTATCGCGGTATATTTTTCCACGGTTCAATTCATGATACGCTAAACTGATATTGCGGTTCGGTTCAATCGGTCCAGAATTATCCGAATCGTCCGTTTTGTTTCCTTTTTTACAATTTCAAAATGGCTTCCGCGCAAAATGTGAGGTCGCCGATAACGCTTTAACGGAAGTTAAACTCATCTCCAGCATCTTACAGACCTCAGATTTAACACGGAGAAGGACTTAATGTGATTATAACTAAGTTATAGATGTTAAAACAAATGATAAACCCTTTAGATCTAAACGTATTCTTTGGTAATACGCGATATTTCATCACGTGTATATTTCGATGAAAATTCACTGTCTTGTTGACTAAAACGTGTTAACACGAGAAATATGACAACTGGTTTTCTACGTAAATAAAAGGAATAAAAGAATGAATGTCTTCCTTTTTCATTCCAATTTAAAAGGAAGATTATTAGGAAAGGTCCCCGTAGTTCCCTGTAAATGTTCATCATTGGTTTAGAATGTTGTTAAAACTCAAAGATCTATCCAACGATCCAATTCCAGTTAACATAATTTTATTTTAATTATTATTTAAAAATATGAACAGTTTATATAACCCTGTCAAGTTTGAAATAAAATATGATGACAAACTTCAAAGACTTTTTAACCTTGTCATGTATCGTGATACGTATCGTATCGTGAACTGAATACCGTGATACGTATCGTATCGTGAGGTTAGTGTATCGTTGCACCCCTAGTAACTACACTATGATACATAATTCTGAATTTTGTTGAACAGTGTTGCAATGGTTACTAAAAATAGAAATTTCTGGAAATACTTTCAAAACACTACTCCTCCTACAGTTTTTATCTGATTTTAATATAATTTGACATGCAAGTAAACTACACTGAGATACTTAATTCTCTATCACTTTTTGATCTTGATGAACAATGTTGCCATTTTATATAAAAAGTGATTTCTGTAAAATTCTTTCAAAAGGCTACTCCTACTACAGTTTTAGTCTGATTTCAATCAATCTTGCCACAAAAAAGACTAAGATAAGATTCATTATTCTATTGCCGTTGCAAAGTTTCAACTCCAAGTGCTACTTTTCTCTTCCTTTGTTATAAGTACAAACCAGTAGATTCTTGTCAGAAACTTGGTCTTTTTAACTCTGCTTTGTTTCATCATATTTCCAATTCGAATACCTAAGTTTTCTGCAACTTAGTTTGTGGGTCTGTCTTTTGGTTTTGATGCCTCTTATTTGAAGTAAACCTGAAGTTGTGAAAAATTATATGTAATTTTTTTTTTTTTTTTTTAGAGAATAAGACAATAAATTAATAGAGATTCAATTGCAATGGAGGACTACATAAAGATAGAGAAAATTGGAGAGGGTAAGTGGGAAACCTACATGTATGTCTTAAAAGAACATATTTTTACAAATTAGGATTGTTAGTGGCTGACTTAAGAAGAATCGGGTTGATCAATCTCACAAACACCGAAGCCATCTCTGAGATTGATTAACCCAATATATTTCTGTAGAATGTCAGTGACAAACCTATTACCTAATGAGTGATTTTTATAATTTTCAGAGGACCATATTATAAGAAACATACATAATATATATACATAAGAAATGATGATCAACGTATTCATAGGTAGCTTTAGCTGCAGAACTGTAGCTCTCTGCTTGAGAAAATTCGGATAGATAAAGCAGAGAGCTACAAATCCAAGCGTTGTAAAAACCTTTGATTTACGCCACCGCTTTATTGTTGTTTACTTCAGGTTTTATCTCTTTATTTTATGCTTTCTCCTACTTTAAGGACATACGCAAAGTAGTTTGAACTTTATTGTCTTTTTCCCTGGAGTTGAAGAGTTCCAATACTTAAAGGAACTGTGTTACATTTTAATGTCTATATATGCTATTGTACACTTCTTCTAAAACAAGTTTGGATAAACAAAACATCTAGAATATATGTTTAGTAATTTTTGTATATTTTTCTTTGAATTATACAAGAATTTCCATCAATTGATATCTTTTCAAAATCCCTGAAAAAAGCAGAAACTGCCTCAATGTCAATATGACGACTATTATTGGACAAATACTTACAGAACTGCGTTCAATGCCGGATCATTTTTGGAATAGTCAAAGCTATGTACGATGCTGTAAAATGTCTTTTTCATGTAACGAATGCGTATTGTTATACATGAAATGATGATATACATTTTTTGCTTTACTCAGTTTAATGTAATATTCATCTGAATTACGTAAAAAATTTCGTTTTTTATAAAAACCACGTATAAAAGGTTAACACTGCATGAAAATCAATACATCCGGTAAGACTTATTTTAAAACCTGTCAACAAACGGAAAATTCCAGACTCTTGAAAACTCGAAATCTTGATCTCTTGAAGTTTTTCCTCGGTCCCGCGGACTTCGAGGTATCAAGAGTTACCTGTATTTTTATTATTACAACTATGTTAATATTTCACTCCTATTCTTATTACTTTATTTACCTTATTATATCAGGAATTATAATCATAGGAATGAATTTAATAGCTATCCAAGTTATACTGTATCACTTGGGTTGAGGCAGTTTACGCTTTATAAACTGCAAAATAGTTTTTAAAAAAAGTGTATAAACTGTTCCAAGTGTAGAAAATAAGACAATTTCTCCTTCAAATATGCCTTCAAATTGTACATATTTTAAATGTCATGTCAAACGGATTGATACTGTTTTTCATACATGTAAGTCATTGTGACATAAGCAACATAGGTTATACGATGGAAACTAATTTTTTTATCCAATTGAATAACATATTGCATCCAAAATTAAATTTTAAACAGGTATTTTAGTCTCTGTATCATGATATGTATTGCACAATAAAAACAATCATGATATATTATAAAATCAGTATAAAAAGAGAGAGAGAGCCTTTGGCACTACTAGACTTGCTCCTTATCGGCTTATGCTAGATCAGGGTTAGACATTTACACTTGTCTGTTACCATGGAAAAAAAATTACGGCCAGGTGAATATTGCTGGGCACTTGTCTGATTGGACAGGTGCATTTTATTGTAAATAAGTCTCCAAATAATAAAAAAAAAATGATGAGTGAAAAACTGAAAATAAGTGAAAAAAAAAATTATCAGTAGTTTAAAGTTCAAAGGCGGAAGCAGTGCATAAAAACCGAACTTCGATCCCCATATCGATCACTGTGTAATATTGAGTTCACACTTGATCAGGATCGAAGTTCACTAATTTTATACTATTGCAAAGGCATGGATCTTACGAAGTTTGGATTCTGTTTGATGCTGTCATTTGTTCACAGCTTAGCTTGTGAACATTTATTTAGTCAGGACCGAAATTCTGAATAAAATTCAGTATTTAGATAATTATTGAAAAATTTTTCGGACAAGTGAAACTGAAATTCGGACAAGGTAATGTCATGGTCACTTGTACGAATGGACAAGTAGGAAAAACAGTTAATGTAGAGCCCTGTAGACCTGACTTGCATTTTCTGGATGAGTGAACAGGTTAAAGTTTTTCAAGCAGTTCCATTTCCAAGTAACTTAAGTCCTACCTATACCAAACTAGGGCTGAATCAATATATCGATATATTGAAACATAACAATATTCAAGTATATATCATATCGAAACATTAACTTCCAATAACATCTTACCTTGCATTTACTATTCCAAAATACTATCCTGGGCTGTTATTTCAAATATACAGCTGAATACTAGTTCATTTATTTAATTGTTATGTTTATTTACTTAGTTTGTATACTAAACCTGTGTGGTGTATTTTATAGGTACTTATGGTGTAGTATACAAAGGAAAAAACAAAAAGACAGGTAGATTGGTGGCCTTGAAGAAAATCAGATTGGAATCAGAAGAGGAGGGGGTACCTTCCACTGCTATCAGAGAGATCTCCCTACTGAAGGAGTTACAGCATCCTAACATTGTGTGGTAAGTTAATCCTACTGAAGGAGTTACAACATCCTAACATCGTATGGTAAGTTAATCCTGATCTCCTCACTGAAGGAGTTACAACATCCTAACATTGTATGGTAAGTAAATCCTGATCTCCCTACTGAAGGAGTTACAACATCCTAACATTGTATGGTAAGTTAATACTGTTCTCCCTACTGAAGGATTTACAACATCCTAACATTGTGTGGTAAGTTAATCCTGATCTCCTCACTGAAGGAGTTACAACATCCTTACATTGTATGGTAAGTTAATCCTGATCTCCCTACTGAAGGAGTTACAACATCCTAACATTGTATGGTAAGTTAATACTGTTCTCCCTACTGAAGGATTTACAACATCCTAACATTGTGTGGTAAGTTAATCCTGATCTCCCTACTGAAGGAGTTACAACATCCTGACATTGTATGGTAAGTTAATCCTGATCTCCCTACTGAAGGAGTTACAACATCCTGACATTGTATGGTAAGTTAATCCTAATCTCCCTACTGAAGGAGTAACAACATCCTAACATTGTATGGTAAGTTAATCCTGATCTCCCTACTGAAGGAGTTACAACATCCTAACATCGTGTGGTACAGTCCCTGAAACGTTCTACTTTCCCACTTGAACGGTGAGCGAACGCTGAACGAACGGTGAACGAACGCTGAACGAACGCAGAGCGAACGGTGAGTGAACGATGTGTGAACGCTGAACGCAACTTGGTGAACGATGTGTGAACGGTGAACGGGGAGCGAACGCAGAACGCGAACGGAGCGCAAACGCGAACGCAAAGTGAACGGTGAACGAACGGTGAACGCAAGATGAACGATATATTCGGAATGCCTCTGATCTTTTCCTTGCATTGAAATTATTTTATTGTTTTATAATGTCAGGTACCAAAAAAAAAAAAATAAATAAACCAATAATAAATAAGTAAACCAATAAATGAATGAATAAATAAGTCAATAAAATAAATTCTCCAAAATTGTCCTGAGAAAGACGAAGCATGTACATTAAGTTTTTAATCACACGATTTTTATCGCAATAAAACATTGCAATTGTTGCAATTGAAGTATAAGAGATATTTTTTTAGTTGGAAAATAAAAATGTTTATTCTTATTTGATAACAAATCAGAGAAAACTTAGACTTATAGAATGAATTAAAGTGGTTGTAACATCCATTCATATATCTCCGTGTTAAGGCGATTTCGTGTAAAGTAATGAAAAAAAAATTACAATGGTCAGTGGACGTTTTGCATTTATACGCTCGTATTTTAAATTTTTAATACAATGATATATTATGTGTCATTTCTATTTTACATGATGATTTATCAGGCCCGTAGGAAGCAAATTCGGTTGGGGGGGGGGCAGCCTTACATTTTCAGTTGATAGTTGAGGGGGCACTACCAAAAATTTCCTGACAAGCCAAAAAAAAAAAAAAAGAAAAAAAAAAAGGTCATCAGACTTTTTATTGCGGGGGCACAAGCATATAGTATCTATGTTTACTATAGCAATCTATATATCGGCAAAATTATTGGGGAGGGGGGCACGCTCCTCCCCCCTTTGCCCCCACCCCGGTTCCTAAGGCCATGTTTACTGAGCAGACTTCTACATTTATCTGTAGATGGCCGTGATTATACTCGGACAAGATAATACAAAGATACATATTCATATTATTTGTTATAAATTCAATTTTCAGAACTTGATATTCAAGTAATATGCTGTTATAGTTTTTATTAAACAGACAAATGAGAGAGAGAGAGAGAGAGATTCCGTTTTAGCCCCCCCCCCTTCCCATTTCAGGCTTCACTACATGTTTGTACCTATATCAAACAAAAACTCTGAAATTTTTTTCTAAGTATATCAGACAGTGAAAGTAACTTCTTTTTTTTTTATCAACAAATCAAATACATTTGTTTGACAGTCATTCTCGTTTTTATTTTCCTGCTTCAAGTTCACACGAAGTCCACGTGCTTGTCCTGTCAATCAATATCATTCGACACTGTGCAGGTGTGAAAGTTTCGTCACATCGAAGACGAAGTGCGAGTATTTCCAACATTTTTATCATTTCTAAATTTGATTCCAACATTTGAATAATAATTGAATAAAATACATACGGCATTAACACTTGAATTTGAAACATACTCTCTGCCAATTCCAAATACCACCGCCGACACGTGTACATTTTGAACTACTATTGTTTTGCGACTTTTTTAGATGCCTGTTTGTTTTGGGACTGAAATTTTTGTTCTAAAAAAGACCTTAACTTTTTTTTTTAAAACGTTAATTAAAATATTCTGGAAATACAATACTGACTAAGTAACCGATTAAGGGGGGAAGGGGGGGGGTATTAATCATATCGAATGGCAAAATAAAGTTACGGTGAAGAAAGATTTTTTTTCTCTATAACTATAGACTTTACATATTATAGTAGAGAGAATTTTGTAGTGCATTACATTTTAAATAAATATTTCCTTCAACCACACCATCAATTTAATTCGCTCCAAAGATAATATATTAATACGATATCCGCAGTACTATGTGTAACTCTCAGAACTAGTTCTATCATATTTTCTGTAGTAATTAAAAAAAGTGTTATAAATAAATATTTTCGTAATTTTGCTGCGTAATTATTTGACTTGAATAATTATATCTCCATTAACGATTTGTCGTCTTTAACAAAACAACAAATTGTTGCAGTGCTTGAAGTATTTGCAAATTGCCCTTAGTTAAATATAATATTTCAGCATCGTTCTACATAGGTACATGTACAGAATGTGCTTATAACAACATTTATTTTCCAGAGTAATTTAATCAATAACCTAACAGCTAAGTTAGAATAATAAAAATATATATCGTAGATATTTTCCCCCATGAAATAATGATTCTTCAAACACGATATGTAAGTTATTAAATTAAAAAGCCTGTAACTCCTAACCTACAGAAAGATAAGTCCTTTCACTTCGGAGTTCCGAATGACAATGAAAACTGAACGATAGGTGAACGCTGAACGCAAGGTGAACGCAAAGTGAACGGAACGAAGAGCGAACGCTGAACGCTTTGTGAACGGTGAACGCGAGCGCACGGTGAACGGTGAACGCAAAACTGTGAACGGAGAGCGAACGGTGAACGCACGGTGAACGAACGGTGAACGCACGCTGAACGAACGGTGAACGAACGGTGAGCGAACGGAAAAATGGGAAAGTAGAACGTTTCAGGGACTGTAAGTTAATCCTGATTTCCCTACTGAAGGAGTTACAACATCCTAACATCGTGTGGTAAGTTAATCCTGATCTTGCTACTTAAGGATTTACAACATCTTAACATTGTACAATTCAATTGACCCTGATCCCTCAGGCCTATATTTCATTACCTCTGCCAAAAGATCAAAAGTTGGACACATACTTGTATTAAGAAAAATTATAGAGTCAATGTGAAAGAATACACATATTGTTGAGTGAAAAGATTGTTTGTTTATAGGACTGTCATTATGAAATAGTACATGTTTTTAATTAATATCATGGTAATACCTTTTCGTAAAGTCACTAGCTATATTGGTAATAAATTCATTAAACACATTGAAATATTATGTTGAGTTAAATTCAAGCACAATGTTATATATAATAAGATTTACATATTTTCAAATACTGAAACTTGGATATAATTTTTTTTTTTAATTATTGTAAGGGAGGTTCCATAAATGATACAGTGGACTCTTGATATTATGGTATTCATTTTGTCACTGTGTTCTATCGTATTTTAAAACCATGAACCAAATAACAGGTTTCCACTGTATACCCAAATAAATTTGCTCTCAGGACACTTGAAGTACATGTTCAATGTAAATGTTGCACATAACGTATTGCAAAAAAAAAATATGATGTGTATTAATGTCAATTTCCATAATGCAGTGTCAGGTCTTTCAATGTTGTTACACATATCTACTTCTTAAATCATCAAATACCAATGGTTCTGGGTTTTTTTTTTCAACCTCCATGTTACTGTCATTGTCTATAATTGCTTTAGTCTAGATGTAAATTCATACTGTTCTTTATTTACAGCTTAGAGGATGTTCTAATGCAGGAAAATAAGCTCTACCTCGTGTTTGAATTTTTATCTATGGATCTGAAACGTTATATGGACACCATTCCCAATGGACAGTTTATGGACAAAATGCTGGTTAAGGTAAAAGCTAATGATAAGGAATTTTGGTTGTATTCCTTCCATTTCATAGAAAAAAATCTCATACTCAATTTCTTGGAAGTTGACCAGAGCTGCCATCTTATTAAATACTGTCTTGTTATTTGACAGAGTTATTTGTACCAGATCCTTCAGTCGATCCTCTTCTGTCATCAGAGGAGAGTCCTTCATCGTGATCTTAAACCCCAGAACTTACTGATTGATAACAAAGGGGTCATTAAATTAGCCGACTTTGGTTTGGCCAGAGCTTTTGGAATCCCAGTCCGTGTTTACACTCATGAGGTAATTTTGGCAGTATGAGTATCATTTGATGAATCATATTATGTCAGTAGGTCTGCGTTAAAGTTGGTGCAAACTTATGAAATCGTCTGGAAAAAAACAAGAACACATGCATATTGTGCTCCATTTTGTTTAAATTGATAGGCAAGTTCAGTGATCAATAATGAATTATGTGAATGTTAACTATTTTAGAAGGTAACTTGCTGTGTTTTTAGGTTGTGACGCTGTGGTACAGAGCCCCCGAGATCCTCCTCGGCAGTCAGAGGTATTCCACCCCTGTAGATATCTGGAGTGTGGGCTGCATTTTTGCTGAAATGATGACAAAACGACCCTTATTCCACGGGGATTCAGAAATCGATCAACTTTTCAGGATATTCAGGTAATGTTAGCTTGTTTGATCTGAATTCAGTGAAGGTTGAAGTTAAAATAAGGTTTTTGCATACCATGATTTTAATTGTAAGGTGCTTTACACTGGTAAATATGTTATGAAAATATTTCAGTGGGAATAAAATGATAGAGTGTTTGTAGTAACAAAAAACTCAAACTACTCTTCTTTTAAACAATTATATGATTTCATACTTAGGACATTGACCACACCAACAGATGATGTCTGGCCTGGAGTGACCTCATTACCGGACTACAAACCTACCTTCCCTAACTGGAAAACTAATCAGCTGGCCAGTGCTGTCCAGAGGTTAGACAATACAGGACTCGATATTCTCCAGGTATGTCAAAATATGTTTGTAGACAAAGGTATGTGCTGAAATTTGTTATTCCTTGTCTTAATGGTACAATGTAATTAAGACAAGGAATGGTTATTTGTATACAAGGTTTAGGTCAAGAAATCTGTTTTTTTTTTTTTTTGTTTATTGTTATTTTTAGAAAAAAGTCTTTTAAACAGTACATGTGTAATTTGTATGCAATAACCTGCTATTCATTTCTGAAACTTTTTCAGCAAATGTTGATTTATGACCCAGCTAGTAGGATATCAGCAAAAAAAGCCCTGAATCATGTATACTTTGCCAACCTGGACAAGTCTGCCTTACCAGCATCTACCATCACCAACTGATCATCCTGACACGACACACAAACACACAGACATCAGACTTTTATCCCTCCATCGTTAACTGGTTCAGGCATATGTACCTTATTACAACACACAAAATAAGCCAAACAAGACTTAGAACACCAAACTTACATGTATCAATGTGTCATCACTGTGCTTTCTGTAGTTGGTTATAGCCCACCTTAAGATAAAATCTACTTAAGTCTCTGTATAAATTTGATTAGATACAGATAAATTAGGCCAAATAAAAAAATATGTATGGTTCCGGTTACACCTCCAAACAAATTAGGGTAGGTAGGTAGGTTTTTTTTTTTTGTTTTTTTTTTTTTTTATTTAAATAAAATATAAGTCAAAAATATCATTGAATGTTCATGAATTAACTATTGGTGATATTGGTGAGATAATACTTTTGCTTTCTTTCAAGTGGTGACATTTGTAACTGACAAAACACTTGTACTGCGTGTTGAAACGATGTTGTCAAAGAAGGCCACCATTGCTGAAACTGAAACTAATACGGGAGCCAATGAGGGAAATCAGGGAAAAATCCGGAAATTTGAAAATTGTCCAAAAAAAAGTTTAGGGTCGGGGGTATAAAATAGGGACGGTCGGGTAACCGGAACCACACATATTTTTTTATTTGGCCTTAGTATATTTTGGGTTTTAAGATAATCTTTCATTGCCTTTATGACTTACCATGGAGTGAGTGATTTCATGGCAAGGACTTGAATGGGTTTTCTGTCTTAATTAAAACTGCACAAAAAGATATAAAGAAATTACACTGTTAGATAGAATTTGATTCAAGAACTTTTTTTTCACAGCTTTTATCTTCTGATTTCATGTGAACGTTTTCAAGAATAGTGCTGTTTGAAACAAATATGAATATTTATCTTTAAACTATGATGTTAAAGTTGTATATCTGCACTGGTAGTGGAATGCTTGGAAAACTATTTGAGTAAACTTAGGCCAAACAAAAAAATATGTGTGGTTCTGGTTACACTTCCAAAAAAATTAGGGTAGGTAGGTAGGGAATTTTTTTTTTTGGAAAATGATTTTCTTAATTTTTTCTAAATAATACCTATCACTGCTTTGCAAATGGCATTCAGATGTGGTGTGATAATATACTAGTCAATGTTGGTAGGGGACACCTACATGCTAGCTTGCTTTGGATTTAACACTATTAAACACTTGCACTATGTTTTGCAGGCCGTCATTGCTGAAACTAAAACTTAAACTGGAGCCATTGATGGAAATCGGGGAAAATTCCGGAAAAAATATGAAAATTGCCCCCCAAAAAAGTTTAGGGTCGGGGGTATAAAATAGGGAAGTTCGGGTAACCGGAACCACACATAATTTTTTATTTGGCCTTATCTTCAATGACAGTGTTCAAACTCAGGTCAAATGGATCATGCTGTGATTGTTTGTAATAAAGTAAGAAACATGTCAATGCATACATGAACATTAGTTTCAGGAAAATATAGAAAAGCTAGAAGGCCATACCAAATTCTCTTCCAATTATGTGAAATTTCTTTGTTTCTCAAAATGTTTAATGCGTGTAATTGTATTTTTAGCAAAATTTTACCTACTCACCCAATTTTGATTTTCCTGATAATCCATAGAACCTTTTCAATAATTAAACTAGTGGCCTTAAAATGTAGAGTTATCTCCCTGTAATACATGTGTGGTGTAGTTTCTCTCTTTGTCTTCTTTCTGATTTCTAACTTATCATCTGTATATAGTGTAATAGGTTTTACTGAGAGAAATTGTGTGCATAAAGGCTCATAAATTGTACACCTGAGCAGATATCTGTATTGTTTGTTGTTTGTATTTTCATGAATGTAGTTTAAACAGTGAATGTACAAGCTTCGATATCTGTTATCACTTGGTTTTACATACATGTTCTTGAAGAAGGGACCAAAGTTATTGTGAAATGAACCAAATACTTTTTAAGTTAAAACACAGGTCAAGTCATTGTAAATGAGACCAGATATTACTTTGTGTCATTTCTAACTTGTGCTTTACAATCAGTGGCACACAGATTCATAGGCATTTTAAGATTTTTGCTTAAGGTATTCAATGTATAATGAAGGGATTTTGAACAATTTTGAATCATTTTAAACTAGTTAAAAATACATTGCTAGATAACGATGAAATTGAAATGAACGAAATTCACATGACTGATAACTTATGAGAAACTGGTCATTTTGCACTTTAAAAGTTTTTGAAGTGTTATCTGCCCTTGATGCAAAGAAGAAAATTTTAATTTCGTCAAAATATCTGCGGTAATTGATTAATTTTATTTCATATTTTAATAAAGAGAGAGAGTATGCATATTTTCACCAAGACCTTTTTATGAAATTCAAATTACTTTTTTCAATATCTTAATAACACATGCATTGTCCATAGACTTCAATGTAAAATTCAAGGTGCAATTAATTTGACAATAATCAAATTTTGGTAATTTTCTTTGGTGGAATATTTTTATTTCATAACACCTTCAAAATGATACCATAATTACAAATATAGGACTGTTCATTTATTAGATACAAAATATGGTCTTTATACATTGAATACCTGTATACATTTTACAGCGAGACATTGTACATGATGTGAATTTTAGTTTATTTTGATGTGCAGACAGAGAAATGATGTGTGACTGTACTTTTGAAAATATTTACTCTTTATATAATTACACATATACCACAATGATTTGCAAAAAAGGAAACTATCAAATGCAAAGTCATCAGGAATTGATTCAATAGTGCTGTAGGCTACCTTATACACACATCACCCACCATATTGTGTTCACTGTTAAATGTTGTCTTCACTTTAAGTATGTATGTGATCTGTGAATGTGTACATATTTCTATTACAGGATGTAAGAAATGAGTCATAATGTTTTCCATTAAGCTAATATTTTATAAAATTGAAATAAAAAAAAGCAAAATATTACTTTCTTTTCTTTCTCATCCTTTTGATTCACTACTCACTGGGAAGTGGTTTTTCTGTCAGAATCTATATTTAGATCCCAAAATTTCACAACAAACTTGTCTGTTGTTAAAAAAAAATAAATGGCATACAAATACATGAGACATGTTCTCCCAGAATTCCATTGGTCCTTTGAGTTCACCATGGGCTCCATGAGTTCACCCTGAGTTCATTGGTTGAATGAGTTCAACCTGAGTTTCATAAGTTCACCAAGAGTTCTATGACTTTACCATGAGTTCCATGATCATGACTACGAGTTCCATGGGCTCCATGAGTTTACCACAACATCCATGGGTTTATCATGAACTACAAAGGTACCATGGGTTCACAGATTCACCACACACAAGTTCATCATGAGTTCTCGGGGGTCCATGAGTCATCTGGATCTAGTCTAAAGTCTGTGGTATTTACGGATACTATCTACCGGGTAGTATTTTTATAGCTTTTCATTTTCAAACCATTTTCACTAATATCTTTGATGAATTTTGGGTCATCAGGGTGTGTCAACTAAAAAAAGTAGGTCACAATGATCTACTTTATGAATTTTACTCAGTGTTTTCCCTTTTTTTCAAAGTAAAGGTTTAGAGATCAACTGTAACAGGCTTTGGGTTAAGGTTTATGACAAATCTCTGTGGCATTTTTATCAGCTGAAGCGGTCAATTTGGCCAGTAGCTTATTCTTATGGAAAATGCTGTTGACTGTGTATTTTAACCTATGACTTGCAAAGTCAACAAATTTTAATACATGTAGTTGATGCATCTTTCGCACTTTTCTCCTTTCCTGTTACATTTGGTGCTGTGCCATGCCATAGAAGTGACTGGTGAAAGACCTGTCAGGGAAGAGCCTGGATTGGTGTCTTCAGGGTGAAGATCTTTAAGTAGAGAGTAACGTGGCAGTTGGACGGGGTTGTTCGCTGGTGGCCAGATAACTAAGTTGGTAGAACACCTGATTGGAGATTCAAGGGACCTTGGTTCAAATTCAGGTCAGGTCTGTGGCATTTTTCTCCTCTCCTGTTACAAAACAATGGTGAGGCCATGCTCCTTATAAATGTTCTAAAGACTATATCCCAAGCCAAGCTCCCCCTATCAGGTATTTCACCTGTTAAAACTATACGCGAAGGAAGAGATCAGGATTTAATCCCCCCCCCCTTTCCAGAAATTCTAGACGCAGAACTGCCTTTTCAAAGCAAATTAGCCTGCTGTAGATTATACATCTAACGTTAGGTTTTTAAGAAAAAGATCACGATAAAAGCAATTATAATGGACGGTTGAATTCGTTCACATATTCTGTGAAAAACAGTTTATTTTACATGGTTGATATTTTTGGGCTCTCAGGTATCTTGATTTACACGACTCCTCTTCAGTTTTTGGAGGTAGAAATGTTCGATGGCTGCCTCACGGATTGCCTCGTCGAGAAGATTGTGTTGTAAATATAGATATATATTTTACGTAGCGTTTGTAATCCTTTGTATTCAGTTTATTATATACAATTTCAACGTAAAGGATGCGGATATTGCTCCGGGAGACAAGGTATGGCTTAAATGAAAATGTCATGCGGCAAATGTCTCGCTGGAAAATGTATCAAACTTGATGTGTTGCATCCCAAACGTATGCCATAGAAAAACAGGTTGCAGCACCTGCCATATGTGCTACTGGATATGTATCAGACACTCCACAATCTGTAACAAGAAGGGACAAAATGTGGTGGACTTGCCCCCCCCCCCCAGGCCTCCCCCGTACTCTCTCAACTGATCTGTCCAGCCACCTTTCTAACCACCACGTTCCTCCCTTTTTTATGTCTTTGCTGGATGCACAAGATTTTGGGACAAGTGATGTTTCAGCACTTTTCTGTCACAATCATCGGCACTCCCCATCTTAATTGTTAAAAAAAATATATACCTACTATACTATAAACATGTTTATAGTATAGTAGGTATATATTTTTTTTAACAGTTAAGATGGGGAGTGCCTATGGTCACAATGATTCAGAATGGCAATGCCACTGGGTCATCACCAAGAATCATGAAAACAAATCAAATTTGTACTCCGGGCCAGAT